CAAGTCGAGGCAGCTTATTGGCGTGAATTTCGCGGCCGTCAATGCCAAATAATTGTTCTCATAGACTTCGGAAAGCTAAATGCTTGTAATGAAAGTCTCTTAGCGTGACCGGCGAAAGCCTGGGGCCGTTCGGGCTACCAAGCTGTCTGGAACTTCAGTTATGAGAATTTTGTACAATGAAACAAAACAGTCAATTTAATTTTCAAGTTTATAATAAGGGACGATTTCATAAAAACGCATTTATTAATTAATCAGATCATTAATTATTATTTTTCCACATTTTATGACCTAACTTTCGATCTAATGTGTCCACGCAGTAAAAATTTTCATACAAATTTTTTACCCTTTTTCACTCCTTTAGGGTTGAATTTCGTAAAAATTTTTTTTAGCACGCCTACACTTTACAAAAAGAACACATCCTCAAATTTTTAAGTTTCTAGTTTCTAGAGCCAGTAGTTTTGGGTCTGCGTTATCTTATCAGGACTTGTTCTTTTATATACGAGTATATAGATGACTAAACTACATAGTAAGTAGGCAGTTTTCATTTGATTTGTTACCTTTTTTTGATCTCTTAAAAAATAACTTAGTTATATTACTTTTCCTTTGATCTTTTATAAGCAAAAACTTGCGCTTTCTCGAACTTGAAATGTATGTTCAGCATTAATAAAAGTTACCAAAATGATTAATTTACAGTGTTTTTTTATTTCTTACTCCTGTTTTTAGGTATTCGGTATTCGGCCGAATAGAAAAACATAGGCCGAATACCGAATAGTAACCGAATATTCATTGCATCATTATTCGCAACCGGTTACTTTGTACTTGAATATTTGTAGTCTTGGAGAAAAAGTACAAAGACAAATTTTCATGATAATGGATACATAAATCGTAAATTTAAGGATAATAAATTCTAGAACTTTTTCTGTACTTCGTGCATCTGTCTCATTCATTAAATTTAGTTGTAAATGATTTTACCAAAGTAACAGTTTATTTTTAACATTCTACAAGAATTGTACATGTTTTTTTCTACATCCCATTGACTTCTGTATACGTGTTAGATACACCAATGAAGAGAATTCAGAAAATTGTATCCTGGTCACTGAACATTGGTTGAGAATTTGCTCTTGGCAAAGAATTTTGATTGGGTTAAATAATTTCAACTATCAAACCAAACTGGATAGCTGAGACTTGAGAGTCTAACCTATTAGACTTGCAAGGTTGACTCAGTTTCACGTATATTGCTCATAATTAGCGTATCATGATGTAACTCAACTATGTCACGATAAGCTCTGTACTATTTTCCTGGACTATTAAGAAATGCTGTACAAGCGTTTTATTTTCCTGAATATTATAACATGGGAAATATGGGCATTGTATCTTGTCAAATTTGATCCTTGGGTTTTCTGTGACATTTTGAGACCCCTAAAAACAGGGTAAGATTCCGAGGATATGTGTGTACTGTACGTGTTTTTCTTGTGTGTGGGCAGTGGCACGTTATACTTTTATGGAGACCAGGCAAATTTGAATTAGATGGGCTTCCGTACGGTGTTGACTTCATGCATTTTTCTTCGGGGAGGTTTTTGGGGAAAAAGTTTTGTATAAAAGATTGGTTTGGAAATTGTTGCTAAGTACCTCACGTAATTGTCTTTATCCTCATGGGATAACGAGGCACTATGAGTTGGGTGTCGGAAAAGTCGAGCAAGGCTCATTGCCAGACTTTTTAGTTGTTATGTTTATGGTGTATTCTTGCATATTTACGATGTGCTAACTTCAATAGGAATAAAGTAAAATAAAAATAAGTAACAGGTTAAATCAATTTATCCTGTTTTGTTACATATTACAACATATTCAATAGCCGACTGTGTTTCTTTGAGGCTCTAGGTTCAATCAGTCCCATTATATAAAAGTGTTTTTCCTTATATAAAAAGTCAACAACATCGTCAATATTTGAGTTATATCACTGATATCACTGTTCTTGCTGGGGTGAGAAATGCAACTTTTTAAACGTTCACTAAATTTTTAGAAACATACTCTTTTTGCTATGCAATTTTTGAGGCCCTAGCGCACGCGCCTAACGAGCCTCTTGGGAAATCTGCCATCGAACATATTCGCTTATCCATTCATATACGTCGTTTGCGAATAACATGCAATTACTTTTATTTAATAACTAATATGTTACGAATATATAGGTTAGGTTCTTACATTTCTAAAGTGTCATTATTTCGTAGAGGGAAAGAGCCTGTTATATATTACAGCCTAGGATCAGAACAGACTAAGTTCAGCCTCGTGTATAACTCAAGTTCAAACAAAAGATTTCCATTTGAAACGACAGCAACAGACTACAAAATAAATGATATCATTAATTCCGAAAGTTTAAAATAAAAAACAAAGACCTTTGTGTTTCTAATACCAAAATCGACGATAATAGTCATTTATTTGATAAATAATTCGTTTAATACATAAGATACAAATTGTAAAAATTTGGCACATTTTCAATTATAAATTTTAAAATTAATCTTCACACGCTAACGGAAATATTGCTTAAAATGATGAAATTGCAACGACTCAACACACTGTTACGAATGTGCTCAATGGCTCAGAGTTTAAAAATTTTTAATTTTGTTATTTCACATTATGATCATCAGAATTACAAGATTCTTCCTCACATCGATCTTTCCTTTCATACGCTTCACGATTATCGTCATTCACGCTCGAGTTATATTTGTTCCCAATGTCCACGCTTTCTTTTGCTTCCGTAATCTTTATTCTCTGTTGAAAAAAATATAAAATTATTCAATCAAAATTAATTTAATATAGTAAAATATAGTTGTGTTCATCATAATAGCCTACGGTTGGCCGATGAAGTTAAAGCCGTTAGCTTGCTACTTTGGAAGATCCGGAAGGGTCGAAAATCCCTTAAAACTTTTTAGTGAAAATTTGATTTTTGTAAAACTAATAACTAATACTTGTTAAGATTGTCGGACTAATTGTTCAAAATGTGATTATTTATTGTACTTACTTCGTTGAGAATAATAATTGACCATTAATCATTGTTAGTTCTGAGAAAATTTGAAAACAATCACGTTTGCCTTTATTTGGGTAAAAGAATTTACAAAACTACTTGAAAACAACACAATTATCTACCAACCAAATGAATAAAACAGCTTCTTCCCTCCTCAGACTTAGCGCCAGCTATGGCTACCTGATATTTTAATTCTATTTTAAAATACAGCTGAGTGACCTCGTGGTTTACATTTTAATTTAATTTTTTTTATTAATTCAAAAACAAAAACTTTCAAAAAAACGACTTTAAGGTGGAGAAATTTTTTATCGTTAGTGAATAAAGCAATTTTGATTGTGAATTTCAGAGGCTTGGAAGCTTTATTAAAGTGTTCAAAATTCAAATTAACCTAACAGTAGAAACTTCATTAATTGGGATTATATAGACAGATTCTTGGCATTCGAAAACGTTCATTACTTTTAACCTTTTGTACTTTTACTTTCGATTTTGCTTTCATATACATAAATATTTATGCTGTTTTGTATATAATTATATGTTTATTTACCTGTATATAAATTATTCTTCCTTATACACTTTAATTATATATCTATTTTGACGAACGAATTAAATGTGAATCATACTTATCTATTGTTTTTATTTCTACTCCCTATCATTACCCAATTAATGGAGTTTCTGTTGTACTCGTTTGATACAAGTTAAAGATAAAATCTATATATATATATATATATATAAATGGACATGTATGTCCCTATATTTCACTTTTTCGCCAAAACTACACATCGCACGTGAATGGTGTTTGTATGTGGTAGTAGCCCCAAGTCTCCATTCGTGCATAGGGGTGGTTGCGTCTCGATAGCTATAAGGGTGCGGGAGATATGAGGCTGAAAGTGGTTGAAAGTGGCTTTCTATTTCGAATGTTTTGTTCGAATT